ACCAAATGTACAGAGCTGTAAAGTTGTCCACCATGGTAGCAGTTAGCTGCTAGCTAACCGTAGCTAACTTGTTTGTCCATTGTTTGGTCTGTGACGTAATAGGTCAACAGGAAAAAGGTCCAATACTAACAAGCTGAAAGGGGGCATATCTCCACCTATCGTAGAGGAGTCGCACATACTTGGCTCAATAAATGGATTCCCCTCCCGTGCTTGTATACTGGGACAAGGACAGTAGGCCAGTTAGATGTCCTCGTCCAGCTGGAACTGGAGCTCCACTTCACTGTGACTGGAAACGTACAGAGTGTTAAACAATAAAATTACTTTAATTGAATTCTGAGTCCCACATACACCATCTTAAAACATCTTAAAACCATTTCTTTTCTTTTCTTGTTTTTTCAGGGTCTGAAAACTGCCTCCTTCTACTACCCTGGAGGCGGGGTAAGCTACCACGGCCAGGCAGTAAACCGAGCGCTGGTGGAGGAGTCTGGTCACCCAGACGACAATGAGACCGAGTGGCGTGACAACATTGACAAGGTGATGAGCTGGTTCTCTGAGGAGGACTTCGACCTGGTGACGCTGTACTACGGTGAGCCGGACAACGTGGGCCACGCCAAGGGGCCGGACCACCCAGACAGGAAGAAGATCATCCAGCAGATCGACCGTACCATCGGCTACCTGAGGGAGGCCATCAGTCTCCATCACCTCAACGACAGCCTGAACGTCATCATCACCTCCGACCATGGCATGACCACCGTCAAAAAGCGGCCACAGGTGGATGAGATCATCCTCAACAAGTACCTGAATTTAATCAAGCTCGCTAGCTTTGAGATCTTGGACTATGGTGGGTTCGGCATCCTGACGCCGCGTCCAGGGAAGGAGCAGGAGGTGTTTGACTCCCTGTCCAAAGCGCCCAATCTGACGGTCTACAAGAAAAATGAGATGCCTGAGAGCTTCCATCTCACCAAAAGTAAACGGCTGCCTCCCATCGTGGTCGTCGCAGATCTGGGATTCAACCTGAACTCTGTGAGTTTCTCAGTTTAATTGTGTTGTAAAAAATGTTTCTGAGAACTTTGTGTTTATGATTCAGTCACCAGGAAAGAGCTGACTGGAAATAATGAGAGAGTGATGTGGACGCCACAAAAGCCCCGTCTCCACCAAACCCTTTCAGTCCAGTCCTCCTGGAACCAGCAGTAACCCTTCAGACATGGTACCTAGACCCTCGGTGTGTTCAGACAGTCCTCTTAAATGTGGGCGGGGTTGTTGTCACTCACTGCTCCATCCAGCACTCGCTGTATTTCCTCATCAGCGGTGACACAGATGGAAGTCTGCACCTGGTTTATCGTCCACAGAACGAGGCTGCACGCCCACATTTTCACAACAAAATAGAACAGGCTGCAGTGAGAGTCTCTCTCCATGGGATATTTAAAAATAGCAGCTTTGTGCATTTAGTCCTTCTCAGGCAAGCTCAGGGGTTTAGTGTTGCTGTAGCCCACAGGAAGTGAGGATTAGAATATATGACCTTCACATAATCCGCTCCAAATTAATCTATATTTTTAAAGTCATTACTAAAAGTGTGTGTCATATAAAAACTAAAGTGATGTTCAAAGTTGTCACAGTGAAATTTAAGGTGTGCTGATGGATTCACGTCATCATCTCATGCATTGAGTAACATTACAAGTTAACGTTCCACCTTAAAAGTTGCCGGCAGTCGGCCCAGTGAATGAAGTTATTTTTTCTCTTTCATTTTATAGTTGTAGTTTACTGATGTATGAACAGAGGTTACATAAAACCAGAGTGAGCGTCCTCTACTGACCAATCAGACTGCAGGGTTTCTAGCTCCACCTTTTAGTACCAGATCTGTGTGCTAGGTACCCCAACAGAGGGGGGACCAAACATGGGGACGCTAAGGAACGCTTCTGTTGGTACCATCCACAACTTTACACTGTGGGAACAGAAACAATGAACTGAACTGAACTGAAATGCTTGGTGGAAACAGGACTAAAGGTGTCCCAGACTCTAGTGACATTATGGTAGCAGTTACATGATTGGCCACCAAGGCGCCCTGTGGGTTTGATTCTCTGACAAAATACCAAAAAACTCCCAACAAAGGAACAAACACAACACGATGCTGAATGGCTGAAAAATTAAAACAAAATCCCGACTAACACTACAAAATGATTTAAAATACAAGAAACCATTTTTAGTCCGGCGCTCCACTGACTCTCTGAGCTTCAGCATCAAAGCGCTGTCCATTTAGAGGTGGTGACATTTTAATTGTCTGTGATGTAAATGTTTCGCCTTTTATTCAGTTTCCTGTTGGCTTTGCTGACAGACAGACAGACAGACAGACAGCTGGGTAAACATGCAGAGACACAATGCCCTCTGCCCACCCTCTGTTCTCTGACCTGCGACCACCCAGGCTGAATGGGAACTGGCTCACAGCTGTTCTATGTTTCCCACCAGAGATTCATCGTCTACGTCAACAAAGGTGACCACGGCTTCCACAGCGGAGAGATGGACATGAAGATGATCTTCAGGGCCTTTGGACCCGACTTCAAGAAGAACTTCCTGTCTGAGCCGTTTGACAGCATCCACATCTACCCTCTGATGTGTAAAGTGCTGCAGATCCAACCGGCGCCACACAACGGGTCTGTGACTGTGACAGAGAAGATGCTGCTGCACAGCGGTGAGTCTGTCGAGGTCAAAATCACACTGTTACATCATCAGACTAATCATAGCAGGTTGGTGCAAATTCTTTCAAACACATGGGGATAAAATGCAACGAACAACTCACAAATTACAAAAAAAATTATATATTTAGACAATAATTTAAAAAAGAAAAATATGTTACAGAATTATAATTTTTAAGCTCCTTTTCCAGGTCATTTCCTTTTTTGTTTGTTTTTAACTTTTTTTTTTTTTTTAAACTAATGATCTTTTTACTAATCTCTTGCTATTTCTTCTTTCGCTGCTCGATGCCTTCTTCCCATGTGCTTGAAAGAAACCAAGCTAATTTGCTCAGGTTTCCAAGGGTTAAGGAGAGAGTTTGGGGACCACTCTTCTCGCGCTACATTTCACAGGGAAACACTGGACTTCTAATTTCACTAAAATCACTGATGTTCAACAGCTCTGACATCTTGTCACCGGCATATTGTTAAAAAACATGTCATCTAATGAGCAGCAGGAACCTTATAGAATGAAATAAATTAATTATCTGATATGTAATGTGGCTGTAAAACCTGTGGTGTTTGTTTAAAGGAAGTTATGTTTAAATTTGACAGGAAGCAGGCAGCAGAGATCACAGCTGTAGAGATTGTATCAGGAGAAACTTGATGGATGTCATGGAAAACTTTGTAAAACTTAATGGGAGCTACAGTTTGTTTTTGTGTGCCAACAAATAATTCTGGACCTGTTTTTAATTGATTTCCCTTCTGCTTATAATCATGTCCAGCCTCATGTTTCAGCTCACAGACTTTTATCTAATTATAATTTGAATTTTTGCTCACTGACTTTTTCACAAACAGGTCTCAGAGGTTCCAGGTTAACGGGACACTGTCCAGTACCTGTTTGTCCTCTACTGGAGCCCCTCAGGGATGTGTTCTTGCTCCTCTTTTATTCTGTTTATACACAAATGATTGTCGGACTAATCACACATTGAGATTTGTCCTTAAGTACACAAATGACTCTACTCTTGTACGTCGTCTTCATGGATCAGAATATGATCATGGACCAGTACTGGATGAATTTGTTAACTGGTCTGACCAGTCTTTCCTCCACAGTGAGATGTTTATTGATTTTCGGAGGAGGCCCTGCCTTCCTGCTCCCTGTGTGATGAAGGGGAGCCGGTGTAGCAGTACAAGTATCTGAGCACTGTTTTAGATGACAAGTTGAATTTTGACGTGACAACATCTGTTAGAAGGCAAACCAACACCTGTTCTGTTTCAGGAAGCTGCTAAGTTTCGATGTAGAAAGGACAATCATGAGTCCGTTCTTTCTTAATCAGTCTGTTCTTTTGGTAATCTGAGCCAAGTTGTGCTGCAAGATCAGTTGTGTTACTTTTATTAACCTCCAGCATCTGTATGAAGAGACGGTCACCTCTAAAGCTTGGTTGATTGTCTCAGAGCCTTAACATCCCCTCCATGTTTCAGATGTTTCCATCAGGGCGGTTCAGGTTCAGCCTCCCTAAATGTAGAAAGCATTACAGATTGTCTTTTGTTCCGTCTGCTATCGCTTATCTTAACCAGCAGTAACCACTAATTGTCCATGATTTCCCTCTGACAGTGTGTGACACCTCACCTCACCTCACCTTTAATAAATGGTTCAAACTGTAAAGGCTTTAAATGATAACATCTAGTCTGTAGTTGTTATTCATTTATCTTTGAGTGACTGCAGCAAACTCCAGGCACACATCTCACTTCATACCGTCAGTAACACTCACAGTACTATGAATCTATCAGAGTATTTGATGTGGTTTCTCTTTGTGTTCAGGTGGATCTCGGAGAGCTCGACTGTCTGCGGCTCTGCTGCTGTCGACGCTGCTCCTCATCTTCACGGTGCTCTAACAGATCCAGGATCAGCTTCCATTACTTCATCTGAAGGTTTAAACCTCGTCAACATCACCGTTCTCCATCTTCATCACATCTTGTCTCAGTGAACTATTACTGTCTGTGTAATATTTAACTAACTTATGATCGTATGGCTTTTTATTTTATTTTGCAACATGTGATTGACATGTTTGTACTTATGAAGCAGATGCGTGATGATCGTCAGCTGTTGGTGTCGGCTTTGTGCAGATTTATAGATAAATTCTAAGACTGACGGTGTTTAAGTAAAAGATGTGAAGACTTGTTCCACCACTGAAAACAGTTTGGACACACTGACACAGAGCTTTTATCACATGACTACAATGATGATGTCCGAAGCTTCCAGCGCCACCGTTGTTCCAGGAAGCATTTTGTTGGATTTATGTAGAATTACATAGAATATTTATGTAAACATGATGAGTGAAGCCAATTAAAAATATTATTCTGTCCTGTTTCTTCTTGTGTTTTCTATCATGTCCACGGAGACGAGGAAGATTAGCCTATTAGTGAACACACCAGAGGGAGATTACTGCAGTGCACGTTACTACTAGAGATGATACGCCGTCTCATGGTGGTCACTTCCTGTCAACGTTACAGATCAGAAGCACAGAGAGTCGTTGACTAGAGATGATGCGCCGTCTCATGGTGGTCACTTCCTGTCAACGTTACAGATCAGAAGCACAGAGAGTCGTTGACTAGAGATGATACGCCGTCTCGTGGTGGTCACTTCCTGTGAACCAGCAGGTTTTTACAACGTTACAGAACGGAGCATTGACAGTAGCAGCCTGTTTAATTCATCTTGGCTTAAATCTTTGGTTTGAACTGGACTTCAGAATGTCGTAAGCAAAATTCGGATTCTCTGTTACAAACGTTTTTTCTGCTCCAAGCGGATGACAGCTCGTTATTGACCTCATGTTGTCCCTGATTTCAGATCCTGCTGGTACACGTCCGGCTCTTTTTAGAAGCTGTTATTGGTGATTTTTCACAGGAGAAAGTGTTGCTGTTCTCTGCTATATTTGATCCCCGGCTACAAAGACGATGCAGAGACGCTGAGATGTGGCTGACCAGGAAACGCTGACGAACCAGAGCAGAATGGACTTTTTGGGAGGAGGTCTTAGAGAGACAGGCGTGTAACAGCTGTATGTGTTCTGTGCTGCTGTCCCTTTTCCCTCAAGTGTAGATCTGCCCAGGTGTGCTGCATTACTTAATGAGGTGCATTGCACCCGGAAGGGAGGAGGTGCATCTGCGGTTCGTCTCAGTCAGAGAGTAGATAGAGGTGTTCCAGCACAGACAGGACGAGGAAAATAAAGTTTTTTGTACCTTTAAAACACATAAACATGTTCTAGTAGAAACCCCAAAATACAAGTATAAACCTCAACATGAGCAGAACAGGTCATCTTTAATTAAATTATATTCAGTCCCAAAGTGTTTCTCTGACAGGAAGTTCTCACTGTGTCAATGACCTGAATTCAGATTTTTATGTGTCATTAAAGTGTCAGATCTGATCGTTGTCACCAAATTGATTTTATTTAAACTTTAAGAAGAAACAATGACGACAGCGGCTGTGACATCATCCAGTCGGCCACTGCAGGCAACAAGGTGAGGCACAACAGTGACCATGCACACACACGCTCACACACTCGCATACATATACATAGAAACTCACTCATACACACACACACATATATAAAACTTAAATCAGCATGACGGATTAAATAAAAACCTGTTGGAGGTGAACCGCTCCGTCTGCTTCATCAAAGCAGAAACAGAAAATTTAAAACCATAACCATAATTAAACTCATCAGTCTGGAAAAAAAAAAAAAATCAGGCCTTCAACTGAGTCTGTGTGTGTTAATTCAGCAGCCAATCACAGCGCAGCAGCCGACCGCCTGTGTAAAAAATCAACCAAAGAAACCTGAGGAAGATGTTTCCAAAAGTGGCGGCCAGATTGGCTCCCAGTGGCGGAGTCTTTATGTTTCACCATAAAACGATGAGAAAATTAAACGTTCACCTTCGCCTGAGAACACACAGCACGAGAAGTACGGCACGGCGAGGTGAAGCCTGATTGGCCGTCCCATGACCTTTCACCTCAGTTCAGAGAGGGCTACGGTATCCCATCAGTAACCTCATCTTCCAACGGTGCCGCCTGGTGGTGGGGAGCGGCGGTGGATCATAATGAAGTCTCAGCGTCCACGGCATTGCGACCGTCCTCCTTCTCCACCCTTATCTGGATGGTCGACAGCTTGTCGTGGCTGCAAGACACAACGAAACATCGAATCAGACATCTTACTGATTTATCGATCAATCTGTCACAGTGTGAAGAAAACCAGTTTAAAATAGTTCTGCTCATTGATCACTCCAGTTTGTGACCACTCAATAAAACATCCAACTGTGTTCTAAAACTTTTTCCCATCGGTTAATAAACTTGTGACAACATCAGTGTTTCCGACCACTTCACACTAACAGCCATACATCATCCTGTTTCTCACACTCAGTACCAGTTCAGCAAAGAGTTTCTTACCTGTTGCAGCGTTTCAGAGATTTGCTGCTCTCAGAGGTTTTAGAAACTGATTTCCAAATGCCGCTTTTTGCCATTTCATCTGAGATGTTCACCTCGGATGGGTCCACGCTGCACGACACACACATATAAACACATTACTCTCTGCTGCCGTCTACAGACAGGTATCACAGTGTTCTGATGTTATCAACTCACAGTTTTTTCAGGTTTTTTACTGTAAAGTCAATTCCTTGGTCGTATGGCTGATCGTCCTCCGCTTCATCCAGCATTCGCTGAGCATCCTGGAGAAATAAACCCACAGTGGTGTCAGTGAGGAGACTGAAGCAGGGCCACATTGTTTTTAAGGTTTCAGTTTAGCGGCTCACCTCCTTCTCCTTCTTCTTCTTATCGTCTTCCTTCTTCTTCTTGCTCTCTGGAATCAGGTCGTCCAACCAGCTCAGCTCTCGCTTGGTGAAGCAGAAATCCAGAAGCTTGCGGATGAACACCAGAGCCAGAACCTGCAGAGGACAGCCAGAGAACACCAGTTACTGTGTTAGAGTATAGATAAAATAAAACATGCTCTCTCGGTCAATTCTCTGTTTGTCTCACCATCATGGGGAAGACGACGGCGGCGGCCGAGGCCTTGATGGCCCAGAGGACGATGAGGCAGGTCAGCTGCACCACAGTGAAGACGTGGACCTTCCACAGGGGGACGTAGCGCAGGTAGATCAGGTCCGGCTGGTGTTTGGCCGGCATGCCGAACAGTTTGATGCGGTCGAACAGCTGCAGGATGCACAGACAGACAAGACATCAGAGACACTGAACCACAGACTGATGAAGCTGTAGCAGGACAGACAGATGGACACTGAGACAGACCTGAATGCCTTTGAGTGAGGACACACCCATGTAGAGGAAGACTCCGTACAGGACCGGCATCGGGATGAACTGAGGGACGGACAGAAAAAAACTCTTCAGCATTAAGAGACATTTTACAGTTTGATGGAAACGTCTTCTCTACAGAGAACTGCTGAGCAGCTGCAGCAGAAGCACTGAAAGAAGCTGAAGTGGCAGATAAAGTCCATGAATCAGATGAAGTGTGAGTGAAGAAAGTTGGTGTCAGTTTGAGAGTAAATGCTGCAATATTAGTGTCATCAAGTGTGAATACAAAAGTAGAAGCACTGAGAGAAGTTAAACTAGCAGATCAAGTGTAAACAATTAATGAATTAAATTGAAGTGTTGGCTAAAACGTGTACAAGAAGTGAACACACGGATGTTGTGTTATTTGAAAAGAGAGTCAGTTAGGGCGCTGAAAGGAGTCGAAGTGTTTTCTGAAGTGTAAATACTGAGAAGTACGTTCAATGTATGTGTAAATGATGTAAAAAATGACACACTGTCATTTCAAGTGTGAATACGAGAGTAGAGACAGTAAAAGAAGTTAAAGGGGCAGGTACAGAATAAACACTGTATGTATGTCAGGGGAGTGGAATGAAAGAAGTGTTAAGAAGTATAAGCAAAAAAAGTTTAAGTGTAAATAATGAAAAGTTAGTCAAAGTGTAAATACTGAAGATAGTTAAAGTGCAGATATTAAAAAGTTAGTAGAAGTGTAAATGATAAAATTTTGTTTAAGAGTAAATACAAAAACGTTAGTCAGTGTAAATATTAAAGTAAGCTGAAGTGTAGGAACTGAAAAGTTAGTTGTGTCAGTTGAAGTGTAAATGCTGAAAACATTGTGTGAATTAAAGTGCTGAAAGCAGTTAAACCCTCCCACCCCTCAGACAAACATCAACACTCAGGGTGTTCTCCATCTCTGTGTGACCTCTATTAGACCTTTTCCATTGTTCTTTATGGCTGTGTCGAGTCACGCCATGCCACACTGATTTGCGTTTCCATCATAAGTTTAGCGCTGTGAGTTGCGCCAGAGATGGACCTTCTCTGGAGTTGGTCCAAATGCCAGGCCGCCAAGCTTCAAACGGGTAGCGGTGACATCTCACCGACTGCAGCCAACCCTAATGACCTGCTCGTCTCACTCAAGACATGCAGTCATCAGTTAAAGACACACCTTCAGGCAGGTAGCCCTGTTGTCATGGAAATGCAAATCCCTGCTGTGCTGGGCTGATGGCCCAAACCAAACCAAACCAAACCAAACCAAACCATGACTGTCGAAAAGGGGAATGTGTTCACCTTGAGGATGGAGGTCATGAAGACAGAGCAGCCCATCAGGACAAAGATCATGAAGCCGGTGACTCTCTGCTCTCTGATGCCCAGAAACTTTGGCTGCTCGCCTGGCGCCGCGCACTCCGACTCCAGCTTCAGACTGTTGACGTGGGAGATGGAGAGCACGGTCGCTGCCACGAACCACGGCAGGCCCATGATGGAGCAGATGCCCAGCATTAGCGCCACCACCAGCAGGTCCAGGTGATAGCCACAGCCTTTCTGCAACCCAAACACACACAGGGAGGTTTGTCATTGAGCTGCTCTGTCAGAGACAAACCTGTCTGTGTTCACTTCCTGCGCTCGGCTGTCCGGACCTTGAGTTTGTTCTCTTTCCTGTTGACGATGACAGCGGTGATCTGCTGGTCCATGAAGATGAGGATGGTGCAGAGCAGAGCAGGGACAGCAGCGGCCAGCATTGTCCACCAGGGGTTTGTTCCCAGCGGGGAGATCAGCCACCCTCGAGTGTTTGACGTGGGCTAAACGGTCAAAGACAAACAGCAGTGTTCATGCCGACACACTGGTTTCTGACTAGGGATGCACGATACTGGATTTTTTGTGGATATCCGATATGCCGATATATAACAACTCATTTGATCGATACTGATATCTATATATCCACTTTTTCCCCACCTAATTTTATTGATCAAGTCTCTTCTGTAGTGGAATTAACATCATGTTATACATACATACTCTTATCATGACGGCCCACCAGCAGATGGAGACATGAAATACTGTTCAGTGTCTGTGATATTCAGTCATTGTGCAAATTAAGAAAAATCATGTTGGCTGATTCTGTGATACCAATGACATGCCGATAACAGGGACACAGGATTAAAACTGGGAATATGTATTTTTCATTAATGGGGATTTTATACACTTAACATTACAGCATGTGTGTACATGTTTTTCTATTTTAATGACATTTATTTGAATTCAAAGTAAAATCACATTTTTTTGCTGTAAACTCAAAAATATAAAATGCAACTTCAGGAAGATTTTTTAACAGTAAAATCATTTTAAAATTAATTATAACCAAGAGAATACATATTAATAAAAATGTGTACAGTTCTCTGTGTCTCTGAACATCTGATTGATCAGCTGTCAAATTTCTCCTCTTTATTGTTTCAGTGTTTTTAGCATCACTTTGTTTGATAAAATCTCACACGTGTTTGTGTGATCGTACTGAAGCTCGAGGTCGTTGTTCTTTGTTGAACTCTGCAGTGTTACCTAATGTACCATTCACCCCAAAACCCCAAACACAGCGGCTGATAGGCAGCGTCAGGCTCTGACCTCTGACCTGTTACCACACTGAGCTGCTGAGGACGCTTCTCATTCAACAAACCAACTTCTGAAACCAGCTTTAACATCAAGACACAAAACCTACTGTTACTACAGAAATGTGTTTTAAAAAGCAGTTCCAGCATGATTTAATTGTTATATTTCAGTCCCTTAAATGTTAATGCTGTCACAGACATCAGATTCTAATCAATATATTGTGTCCAGATTACAAACAGAAACGGTGGAGTCAGGCTTTACCTCGAAGCGGTCGGGTACGTCGAGTTTGGGTGTAGGAACTCCCACCAGATAATCCACCAACACCATGATCATGATGGTCAGAAAGACAGCGAAGTCACTGATGGTCGATCGAACCTGCGGACACAAAACATTTTCTCTGCTTAGATTTTCTTCTTCCAATAAAAAGTGATCATTTTAAACCAAAACCTCAAACTAACTTATGTATTTAGGTGTTGGGTGTATTTCTTTTTAAATTCTGTTTGTGCAGAAAGAAATTTTTTGCAAATCTCAGATCTCTGTGAGTGAAAGATACCTTGGTGGGGAAGTATCTCTTGGTCTTAAACTGTTTGAGGAAGGAGGAGAGGAAGAAGGTGGTGAAGAAGAGGATGACGGACCAGAAGAGGACGTCGGGGACGTAGGGACCATCGTGGCCACAGGCAGAGCCGACAAACTCCCCGTGAAGTTCCAGACAGCCCTGAAGATAAAGACAGAGAAAGATCATTACAGTCTGAGCTGAGGTTGTCAAGCTGCAGACGTCAACCAGGTCTCTGTCTCCACTGCTACGCTGATGACACCCAGTTCTATCTATCCACCAAGCCTACTTCCACTTTTCCACCCACTTCCCTTTATGACTGCTTATTATCTATCTTTCTATTACTATCTATCTTTCTATTACTATGTTTGTGTGTGTTTGATGAAGAGATTCATGTCAGACCTTCACAGTCAGATTTTCCCAATGGATGCTTTCTGCAGTCAAATTTTTCTTGCTCCAGATATCCTGGATGTCAGCTGAGGCGTTGGCAGGCGGAGAACACTGACACCTGAAACACACACACAGTCAGGGACACGTTAAAAAACAAAAGCCTTTGCTGAGAGAAAACTGTGACGTTCATTACAGATTTTAAAGACATTCTGTTTTTGTTTTAAGTCTGTTACACTTCCATCCATCACAGATCACAGGTGCTGCTGGCTCTTACGTGTAGAAGGTGAGGTCGTCCAGCTGGTTGTGCATGTTGATGGGGTAGAGCTCCCCGAGGTGGACCAGCTTCTCCAGAGCCTCGTAGATGAAGATGATACAGATGAGGGCGGCGAAGGCCTCCTCGGTGAAGCGGGTGATGTAGCAGACCAGAGAGCTGGCGTCGGTGGCGACCAGCAACAGGCAGAGGAAGGCGGTCCAGAGTCCTATACTGGTCCGCAGCGACAGGTAGGACAGACCATAGTTACTGAGGACAGACGAGACGGGAAACGTCAGTATTTTAAAGGACGATAAAATGTTTTCGCCACATTAACTCCAAAACACAAACTGCTTTTCAAAATCATGCATCAAATTTGAGATGTTTCAGACAAAGATTTTCTTCAACAAAATAAACTCACTGTGAACAGGAAATCACTTCAGACACAAAGTTGAATCATCATGTGAAAATGGTTTTTGAAACACAAAACTCTCCCTGTTGATTCGTTCAAGGACTAAAGCTTCGTACTGTTTCAAACTCTACACAAAAACACGTTGATATTTTACACTGACAAATGTGAACACGTTTTTCTCCTTTTTTTTCATTTAACAGAAGAAGCCAAAGTTCTGAAAAGTTAAATGTTGTCTGAACACAAACAGTCGCACAAGAACTTTGAATAAAACAGTCTGCAATGAGTGAAATTGTGATTTTAAGGAACCTTCAGTTGAAAGTGTCAGTGACATAATAAATCTGTCAGTTTTTAAGACTCCGCCACAGGCGCACGTTTTGTACCCAGAGCTCTCAGGTAGACTTTGACACCTGAGATTTAAAAATCAGCTGCTGAACATTTTTAATTCATGAACAAATTCACATGACGCTGCAAAACAGCTTTGACTTTGAGCGTTCTCTGGATTACATTTTATGAAACGAGAATATTTGATTGTGGCGGTTTTTGGCAGGTGACTCTTTAATGTTGTATTGTGGAGGGTTAATTTTTACCCACTTGGTCCATATCATTACTAATCATTGATAAAATAAAGGCGACTAACATCAGCTATGATCAATCTTCTCTCTGCAGACTGAAGATTTTCATAGAGATGAAAAGTTAAACCAGCGGCTGTCTGAAGAGAATCAGTGTAAAAACTAATGGATGATGTTCAGAAAATGGTCTGCAGGAGTGTCAAGTTTACAGGAGTCATAGTTAATTGATGGTTTTCTTTTGATTGATCAGCCTGACAGCTGTGACCGTTTCCTCACGTTAGTTTTACTCTCAAATTTATCATTTTTACTGACAATAAAATACAATTTATCTGAACTCAGTGAGCAGAGAAATAAAATACTATGAAGGCACTGAAAAGTATTTTCACAGAGTCAGGGTCATATCAGTCACCTAGCGCAAACTGTCAGCGTTCATCGTTCATCTCAGACTGGTAAAATATGGAAAATACAAATGACATTCTGTAAAATGTGAACGTAGCAGAGATCAGAGCAGAGCTGCTGTCAGACTCCACACTAAGAGAGACGACGTGCACATTTACACACGAGGAGCAGCGTAACTTCATGGATTATTTCAGAAGCTAAAAGTTCAGTTTGGTTTCCTCTGTCAGGTTTCTAACTACAGTTTTTAGTTTAGCTGTTTAAATGTCCAACGATATGTTCTGCAGTGACATCACTGCTCTAACTGCATTACTCTCAGCAGGAAACCGCTATAATTTTCTGAATCTGCCATGTTAACAGCACCAATTGCAGGTTCACTGATTGGTTAAATTCATGTTACATCCGTAACACATCTATGATTAATTAAGGGACTAAATCCAACCCATTTGGGCCTCGCCCCTTACTTTGCGCCCAGTTTATGCACCCTGTAACTAACAAAAGTGGAGCTGGACACGCCCTGAATACACTTTAGACCACAGATGGTTTAAATAGGGTCCTCTGTGTTTGTGTTATTGAAATATCTACAGTATCTTCAGAGTCCAGCGCCTGTCGGTCTGTCAGACAAGAAGTCCTGCCCTCTGAAGTAACCAATTAGGGAGCAGAGTGATCAGAATCTGAACAGTGACCTGATCAATACTCCACTAATCAGTAACCACAGTCAGAGCACACAGAGGGGCTGATGATCTGTGGTTCAGGTGAATCTGACGTGTTGAATGATAAAAAGGTTCAACAAGCTTTTATTCCTCATTGATTACTTTGACTGTTTAGGTATCACACATTGATTTAAAGTACGATGGAGATCAACCAACACAGCACACAGTAAAGAGGTCAAAGGTCACAGGCCTACGACTGCTGTGGGAGAAAATAAAAACTAATTCAGAGCAGGGTTTTTTTGAGGACAAAGTCAAACTGCAGCACTGTATCGTTATACAATTGAAGACAAACGACCCAAACACACCAGGATTTAAAATGGCTGAAACACTTAATGTGACCGGTGTCAGCAGGACCAGAGGAGCTGCACGAGGAGACCAAATCAATCTGCATCAATGTTTCGTATGGAGTTCAACTTTGTGAAACGCTGACGGGCAAATCTGCACCGATGACCAACACGCAGCTGTGTTCACAGAGCTGAGGGGAAAGAAGAGCTGAAGATTTCAAAATACACAGGACGCTCTGTTAGCTCCAGAGTTATTGAACCTGCTTGATTGGACTGTTCCACAACAGAGACGTGGTTTACAGACAGATATGGGACCAGAGTCGAAGGTGTGAATAGGACTGGGCGATAAAACAATAACAGTAATGATCTTGATATAATTTTCCTCAAAAGAAATAAAAGAAATGTTTGATGGCACCCAAATTAGCCACCAAAGCTTACACTGAAGGCAGAAACACCCAGAAGAAGTGCATTTCTGCGTGCCGATCAGCAACGATTCTGTTCTCTGCTCTGATTAAATCACACGTAGAGCTCAGTCTCTGTGTGTGTGTGTGTGTGTGTGTGTGTGTGTGTATGTGTGTGTGTGTGTGTGTATGTGTGTGTGTGTCTATGTGGAGGCACGGGATGCACATTCTGTCATTTATCATAGATGATTTCTATCATATTTAATAAACACTTTATATTGTTAACAACACATTTTCAGTGTGTTTTCTTGCCAGATTTTCTCGCAGCCGACGGAAAATACAGACCAGAGGCTGAAACTATGGCTGTAGATCACGAGCCGACTCCAGGCACTCGGCACTGTGCCACATCTTGTGTGAACGGCCCAATCAGATAACATGGGAGCACATGGGATGAAAATCGTGTGCTTCGTTACACTTCTGTGTTCAGTGTGAACCCAGTCTTACAGTTAGGGCTGCAACGATTAGTCGACTAATCGATGACTAATCGACTATTAAAATAAATTTAGTAGTTGAGTAAACGTTTTGAGTCATTTTTCATAGGAAAGTACTATAAAAGTACCCCAAATACTCTTATTGCAGCGTTCAAATATTGGCAGCTTTACACACTCTCCCATGACGGTGAACTAAAACACTTTGGCGTGAGTACGAAACAAGACATTAGATGACATCATTTTGGGGTTTGGGAGAGACAGACCAACATTTTTCAACATTTTAACACATTTTTCAATAAAATGATTAGTCGACTAATCGAAGAAATAATCAACAGATTAGTTGACAATGAGAATAATCGTTAGTTGCAGCCCTACTTACAGTACACATCAGCTTGGTGACCACAGACCACGCTAACGTGTACGGTGACGTTACATGTTCAAGTGTGGCTACTTTTTTTTTAGCACTGATTCGCAAATAGCAGATATTAATACAGTGTGTTGTACAGTATTGCATGGTACAAAACTTCTCTTGTCTATTTCGTTTATACTGTCAGCTAAAACACTTAATGTTTTAATCATCTGTACAACGAATTTGACATCCTGCTGATCAGAGTAATGAATGAATGGATAATTTTTATTTCAGTAACATACATCTGGAAAAAAAAAGGACTATTTAACACAAATAACTGACTTGACTGTAATAACTGTAACTTCAGTAACTGAGAAAAGAACAGGCTGAAACCTCAGGATTATTTTTGCCTATCCTGTATCAACTAAGGGATAACACAGAATATTAACTATACCAAAGAAAGGAAATAAATTATTAATTAAATACATTATACTCTAAATTAAAATACACAATTATTTTACATTTTGATCATTTCACATTATAATCCATAATCATTTAACATCTATTTGTCTATTTACGGTTTTATTTATTGACATTATTTTCAATCTACCTCAGATATGTGAAATTTTCCGCCATGACTTGACAATAAATAAAAGTTTAAACTACAGCTAACTGTCCGGTTTCTTCAGCTTTCTCTCAGGAGCAAAAATCAGCCTATAAACTACAAAGAAATAATAATTTTGACATTTATCGTGATAAATATCAATGTCAATGATGAGAAAATTATCGTGGTAACATTTTTGGCCACATCAGCCTCAAAAAAACATGTCTTTAAAAGTGACTGCGTGAAGTTATTGTGCACATCGCAACATGTTATGTTTCAAGATTTTCATTTGTTATGTGCAGAAAAATGGCAGCAGTTGTTAGATATCAAGCATCACAAATAATGCTCATTAAATATACAGTATATAGATGGAACCACACAAGTAAAAATTAGAGGTAGTGCATAAGTTAGAGAGATAAAATAGGCTATGAAAAATATAAAATAATTGTGTCCGACAGTAACTTCAAAGTGAATAAACTGTAATGTAAATGCAGATGTATAAAGAGAAGTATTAAATACATGCAGTATTTTACAGTAGTAAGTGTATAAAGGTGACGTGACAGTGAGACACTGGTGATAAAACTGAGACAGTATTTTGATGCAGCTCTGAAGGTCAGGATTCAGCCTGCAGCAGAAATAATCAATGGCAGCAGAGACGTCGGTCAACACTGACTCAGGACGAACTGTCAAACTGAGGACATCGACCACAGAGGGCGTCTCTATAAAGAGCAGCGGCCTCTCTGTCCTCCTCACACTGTCTCATCCTGTCTCTCATCATGTCTCGGTGTCTCTCCGTCCTGCTGCTGCTGGCCATGGCCTGCCTGGCCCAGTTCAGCTCAGCTCAGCCCGTCGACAGCCAGGCCGAGCTGAAGAAGATGCAGGCCACCCTGGAGGAGCTGAAGACCGAGAGACGAGGTGAGGCTTCGACTCTGCTCACACCTGGACCTGTATCGAGTCTTTGTTGCTCTACAGCTGGATTACTGTGAACTTAGAGCCTTGAATCTGACCACTTCCTGTGTGTTCAGTTTGTTCTGCTTTATTTTTAACGTGT